AGGTTGTTTACAGTGGCAAGGTAGGAATGAGGGTATAAAAATAGCTGCATTGATCCTCTCAGGTCTCTTAAAGGTAATAGAACTGAATAGGGAACTTAACAAGTACAGATGTGATAGTACTAGAAGGAAATTTGGGATCGTTAAAATTGCGTTTCTACTCAGTAAGGGAATCTAACTTGGTCTTAGAGTAATAGCGAGTAAACTTGGAATAACTCAGAAAAAACAAATCTAGAAATGATGGTACATTGTTTTTTTTTTTGTTTTTTTTTTTTTTGAGACGGAGTTCGCGAGCTGTATCAACCCAGGCTGAGAGTGCAGTGGCGGCATCGTCGGCTCGACTGCAGCTTCCCGGCCTCCCAGGTCATCGGCCCATGTCTCCTCCTCAGCCTCGACGTAGCGGTGTGACTACGGCGCCCGCCACCACGCCCGGCATAGGTTTTTTTGTGTTTTAGTAAGAGACGGGGTTTTCACCATGTTAGCCAGGACTCGAGTCCTGCGAGTCTACCTGACCTCGTGATCCACCCACCTCGGCCTCCCAAAGTGCTGGGATTACAGGCTTGAGCCACCGCGCCCGGCCGGTAACATTGTTTATGTTCATTGCACAATCATCTGGAAATTTAAGAGGCAGAGCTCTGTTTTGGTCGGGAGACCTAACTCAAGAGCATTATGATTATACATGAGTCAGCTGCATTCAAAGGCCAGCATTCTAGTCCTTAGTTTAAGCCTTGGAAATCAAGTGTTTCTGTTCTAACTTCTACTGAAAGGAAACTTCACCTGTCATTGTATACGTTGAAGTGTTCTGACTCTTACTTGTAATCAGTAGTCCTCTGTTATTTTATGGGCCTTTTTTTAGTGTTTGTTTTGTTACCCATGCTTAAAAGTTATTAAAACTTGATCTTGTTTTGAGAGTTTTACCCTTTAAGTTCCTCCTCTAACATGATAATTCTCATGCTAGATAAGAAATGTACATTGTCAGTTCCCTGGTAACAGCTGGGATGTCCCAATCAGAATGGTGACTTTAGTTTGGCATCTGATGGAATGGGTGGTCATGGTGAGGGAGAACCAAGGAACTCTGGTAAACTGAATAGAAGAAGTGAAGGAAGTGGATTTTTTTCCCCTGCATTCTCAGAAGTAGTTAAGATCATTAAAGAAAAGAAAATTTCCTCTGGAAGGCAGCATTATTACATAATAGAAGTTTCATTTTATCTCACACAGCTCAAAGAAAATGAACGGCACCCTGGACCACCCAGACCAACCAGATCTTGATGCTATCAAGATGTTTGTGGGCCAGGTTCCAAGGACCTGGTCTGAGAAGGACTTGCGGGAACTCTTCGAACAGTATGGTGCTGTATATGAAATCAACGTCCTAAGGGATAGGAGCCAAAACCCTCCTCAGAGCAAAGGTCAGGGCTTTGGGTTTTGGTTTATCTTATTTTTCCCACTGACTCTCAGAGCAGGTGAGGGCTTTGGGTTTTTGACAGGATACAAAAAATTGGTTTTTTATATGTAATTTCTTTCATATGCATTCTCTCTGTCATTGCCAGAATACTCCTGTCTGTCTGTCTATCTGTTGGAAAAAATCTGTCGTTTTATAGTAGTAATATCTTGTAATCCAAATATATTTAATGGCTTTAAAAAGTTAAGATGTTAGCATGAGGATAATTTGTAAATTGGATCTTCGGCAGTGCTTTGTGAGGGCTCTAAATTTAAGAGACAGACTCACGTGTCTCATTTGACCTCGGGAACAGAATGACGAAGATAAAATTGAAGTAAACCACATAAAGTTATCTTTAGTGTTTGGGCTAGCATAAGCTGAAAGAGAAAAACTGTCCACATACCCGTAGGTTTCTTGTTAGTATTACAGAGGCCTTGCAGGATGATTTATCAAATAGAAAGGATTTGTTTAGGCAGCTTGTTTGCTGTTGCCACAAAGTGAGCAGGAGAAGAAGAAAGGTGGAGCTGCCTCCAGAATTGCCTAGCAGAGTGGAAGTTTCACAGGACTGATGGTAGATAGGTATTAACTTTGCCCCATATACACACAGACCTGTTCTTATTTTCCATTTTACCAGTTTTCAGGTAATTCTCTGTGAAAGCTCTCCAACAGTGCAAATGTGAGCAAACATGATTGTCATATTGAAACCAGCTTAATAGCAGAAGATCTAGAAGCAGAGGAATTACTTTCTCTTTTTGGCATAGTTAACTAAAAATATAAAGTATAATAGTTTCTGAACATGACTGGCAATATAACCTTCAGTAATTTATAATTCTAACTGCTGCAGCATTATTTTAAAAAAAAATCTATATTGTATCTCATGAGAATATGGGAGTGTCAGAACGTTTAAGCCCAAGATTTACAAGATATACTTCCTCTCCTCCTACCCTAAATAAAGATTCAAAGCACAAAATCTACAGATCTGAGGCAGCACCATGTGCTTTTAGAAGCTTAATTATATTTGATGAGAACCAAGAGTCCAGAAAAAGATGTTAAGAGGTGCTTGCTCTTAAGTCATTTTATAATTTAATAAGTGATAATTATGTTTGAGGCATATGGTAGAATCTGGCTACGAAGTAGGGAGTGGTTTATTCTGAGAGAGCAGGGAAAGAAAGAGTTCCTGGTAGACTGCAGGCTGCAAAAGTATAGAGCCCCATCTGTCTTCTTGTCTCATATACCACCTGGTGTTCCAAGTAGGGTAGCTTGAGTCAAATGGCACATGACCTTTCTTTATAAGAGAAGTCATCTTTTCCAGAGAAGTTATATGAGCAGCTAAGTAAGACGGTGTAACTAGGAGGAGACTAAAACAATAAAGTGTATAGAAAATAATCTTATTCCCCTGCTAGATATTCATATTCATTCCTTTCCACTGCCCTCCCCCTCTCACTAATTTTAATAAACCCAGCCCTCTTTGAAGATCTGATATGTCAGTGGAGGAAGGGTTGCTGTAGGAATTCTCTGCTTTCGAAGTTTTATTTTATGAAATCTTATTTATTGCAGGGTGCTGTTTTGTTACATTTTACACCCGTAAAGCTGCATTAGAAGCTCAGAATGCTCTTCACAACATGAAAGTCCTTCCAGGGGTAAGAAGGCTCCCACTAGTAAATGGAAATGTGGTAACTTTGATATATGGGATATACTTACACATATCAGGCACACACTGAAAACCATTTTGGGGAAAAGGTAATTTCCGCAGGAATTGATGTAAAGGAAGACATAAAGGGAGCACTTCAAAGATTACCTGACAGTAGTTCTCTCTCAGCCAAGAGTCTTGTGTATTTGACTTCTTGACTCACCTTTCATTTTCTGGGGAAAGATCATGAAGCAGACATGAGTTCAGAGAGAACTCCTTAAAGCTGTAGTTCTGGTATTTTAGAGTCTGCATGTATTTCTGAATGCCATTAATATATACAGTGATAATAATCATATTTTTCCTTTTTAGATGCATCACCCTATACAGATGAAACCTGCTGACAGTGAGAAGAACAATGGTAAGCAAATGTATACACTCTTCCCCTTAAGATTTTCTGCCTAGGCCAGGCGCGGTGGCTCACACCTGTAATCCCAGCACTTTGGGAGGCCAAGGCTGGTGGATTGCTTGAGGCTGGAGTTCGAGACCAGCCTGGCCAACATGGTGAAACCCCGTCTCTGCTAAAAATACAAACATTAGCTGGGTATGGTTGTGCATGTCTATAATCCCAGCTTCTCAGGAGGCTGAAGCATGAGAATCTCTTGAACCCAGGAGGCGGAGGTTGCAGCGAGCCGAGATCATGCCAGTGTATTCCCGCCTGGGCAACAGAGTGAGACTCTGTCTCAAAAAATAATTAAAAAAAAAAGATTTCTGCCTAGTTTATTTGCTTTTCTTAGGATATCTGAATGGAATTGTGCTTTAAGTAATACGTTGTCTAAGTTGTGTCAGTTTTTTCTTTAAAGTCTGATAAATAGAAAAACAGTTGACAGAGAAATATTATAAGAACATTGTAGAATGAACTGGAGTATACTTGGTCAGTATAATATCTTTTGGACAGGAATGAGGGGGCAAAATGAACAAATTAGGAAGGAGAACTTAATTCTCAGGAAAACAGTCTAGTCTGGGTGATGTAGCTCATGCTTGTAATCCCAGCACTTTGGGAGGCCAAAGAGGGCGAATCACCTGGCCAACATGGTGAAACCGCGTCTCTACTAAAAATGCGAAAATTAGCTGAGTGTGGTGGCGCATGCCTGTAATCCCGGCTACTCAGGAGGCTGAGACAGGAGAATCGCTTGAACCCAGGAGGCGGCGGTTGCAGTACGCTGAGATTATGCCACTGCGCTCCAACCTGGGCGACAGAGCAAGACTGTGTCTCAAAAAAAAGAAAAAAAAGTCAGAAAAGTAGACAGTTACACTCACTGAAAGGTATGTTCTCTTCCACTTGTCATATCAAGTAAGTGTGAAAACCTCTTCTTTCTTTAGTAGTGTTGCTAGTAAGAGCAAACAATGCTGGCTGGGCACAGTGGCACACACCTATAATCACAGCACTTTAATAGGCTGAGGCCGGAGGATTGTTTGAGCCCAGGAGTTTGAGACCAACCTTGGTAATAAGAGTGAGATCTCTCTGCAAAAAATTGACTGGGTGTAGTGGTACATACCTGTGGTCCCAGCTATTCAGGAAGCTGAGGTGGGAAGATTGCTTAAATCCAGCAGGTCAAGGCTACAGTGAGCCATGATCATGCCACTGCACTTCAACCTGGGTGACAGTGAGACTCTTGTCTCAAAAAGAGCAAACAATTACAAAGGACTAGGGAAGATGCCAAGTACTTTGCATTTAATAGCAACTGCTACCCTTTGAAGTAAACCTGATTATTCCTATTAGTTAGATGAGGAAACAGGCACAGAATGGTTAAGTAACTTTCACAAGATTACAAAGCTACCATATTTCATCTAAATGCTTCTAATTATAATTTTAAGATAATGTTGGTTATAAGGAGAGATGTGAAGCCGGGCATGGTGGCTCACGCCTGTAATCCCAGCACTTTGAGAGGCCCAGGCGGGTGGATCACCTGAGATCAAGAGTTCAAGACCAGCCTGACCAATATGGAGAAACCCCGTCTCTACTAAAAATACAAAATTAGCCAGGCATGATGGTGCATGCCTGTAATCCCAGCTACTCAGGAGGCTGAGGCAGGAGAATCGCTTGAACCCGGGAGGCAGAGGTTGCGGTGAGCCGAGATCACGCCATTGCACTCCAGTCTGGACAACAGGAGCAAAACTCTGTCTCAAAAAAAGAAAGAAAAGAAATGTGAAAAATATGAAAAACAAATGTGTGTCTTGGAATCTGTAAAATATGGTATGAAGGCACAGAGCCAGGATTCAAACCCAGGCGGTCTGGCTCCCGAGTCTGTGCCACATTGCCTCTTTTCATAGTAATATTCAAGTCTTTTGTGTTTTACTCTCTTAGCAGTGGAAGACAGGAAGCTGTTTATTGGTATGATTTCCAAGAAGTGCACTGAAAATGACATCCGAGTCATGTTCTCTTCATTTGGACAGATTGAAGAATGCCGGATATTGCGGGGACCTGATGGCCTGAGCCGAGGTAGATACAGTTTTAGCTTTTAAATAATCTTTTGGTTTTTTTATTTTGGTTTGGTTTGGGGTTTTTTTTGGAGACAGGGTCTTGGTCTGTCTCACCCAGGCTGGAGTGCAGTGGTGCCTTCACAACTCATTGCAGCCTGAACCTCCCAGAATCAGCCTCCTGAGTAGCTGGGACCACAGGCATGTATCACGACACCCAGCTAATTTTTAAATTTTTTAGAGAGAGAAGGTTTCCCTGTGTTGCCCAGGCTGGTCTTGAACTCCTGGACTCAAAGGATCCTATCATCTTGGCCTCCCATAGTGCCAGGATTATAGGTGTGAGCCACTGCACCGGCCTTGGAATCTTTTTAATTGGACCAGTGGAAACTAGCCACAGTGATTCCCTAGCCAACATGGTCTGGTCAAGATAAAGAGGTTGGGCCTGCTGCTTCCTGCTGTGTATCTATGTCCTGTCTTGACTCCTCCTATCAGTTCATTCTTTTTGTCTCCTAGCCCCTCTAAGGAGTCTACATTCTATATTTCATTGTCATGTATTAAAATTTTCTCTTTTGGTGCTTTGCAAGATTCTTGATGCCAAAATGGAAATATTTTCTTCTCCCATTTTCTTTTATTTTCAAGAGGAACTAGAGGATATGATTCCTCCTTTCTCTTGATAGGCATTTTTTTTTTCTGTCAGTGGTTCTCTGTTTTTTCATTATAGCACATATCACCCTGTTGCAACATACTAGCACATGATCCCCTGAAAACAAGGACTGTGTCTGTATTGCTAGCATGATAGTCAGCACATAGTAGGTGCTCAATTAATGTCTGTCAGAGAAATGAATGAATGCATGAGTTACTGACTCTTCTCTTACCAGGTTGTGCATTTGTGACTTTTACAACAAGAGCCATGGCACAGACGGCTATCAAGGCAATGCACCAAGCACAGACCATGGAGGTAGGGAGCAGATAGGTGATGGGGAAAATTTCTCAGCTTGGGAATGCTGGGACAGTTGGCTATTAAAGTCCAGCAGCATGTGCAGTATCTGATTGCCCAGAAAGTTAAACAGCCAACATCTTAAAGTTAAAAACCACTGATTTATTTAAAATTAACATACTGGAAATGCTCTCCCCACCCCTTTTTTTGAGATGGGGTCTTACTTTGTCACCTGGGCTGGAGTGCAGTGGGAAGATCATGGCTTACTGCAGCCCCAGCCACCCAGGCTCAAGCGATTCCCCCTACCTCTGCCACCCAAGTAGCTCGGACTACAGGTACACACCAGCACGCCTGGTTAATTTTTGTATTTTTTTAGTAGAGACAGTTTTGCCATGTTGCTCAGGCTGGTCTAAAATTCCTGGGCTCAAGTGATCCGCCCACCTCAGCCTCCCAAAGTGTTGGGATTACAGTCTCTTGTGTCTAGCATGAGGAGAATCATTTGGCAATGAATGAAATTAGAATGTAACCTGCATGCCATCCAAAAGGAAGATTTTTTTCTTTTCCCAGGTGGAGGAATTTGACCCTTTGGTTTTGGTCTTTTCACAGGGTTGCTCGTCACCCATGGTGGTAAAATTTGCTGATACACAGAAGGACAAAGAACAGAAGAGAATGGCCCAGCAGCTCCAGCAGCAGATGCAGCAAATCAGTGCAGCATCTGTGTGGGGAAATCTTGCTGGTCTAAATACTCTTGGACCCCAGTATTTAGCAGTGAGTCTTTGTGGTTTGCTTTCTGCAGACTGTGCAAGCTCCCAGCTGTTTCTTCTTCTGCTGTCCCTAGCTAACAAACACAGTGGCATTTACAACTTTTGGCGTATAGAAATTATATGTAAAAATTCAGGTAGTACTATTTCTTTTAGTCCTGTTAGTCTCTCTCTCCCTCTCTCTCTCTCTCTCTCTCTCTCTATATATATATATATATATATGTATGTATGTCTCTGGACATGCATCTCTGGTTATATCTTGAGGCTTTTGCTGCAACTGAAGTGGATTCCTGGTTTCCCATTTTAAAGATTTAGAAACATCTTGTGTCCTTACTTCCAAGAAAGAAATTCCTTAGGGAATCTCAGCCACCAGTGTCTTTCTCCATATCTCTTTCTACCAGATGTAGAGGGCATCATTAAAATCCTTATTGAGTCTTTCCTAAAGAGTATGATAAATGTTTCTTTCAGCGGACTTGAGAGATGAAGAGATTTTTTTTTTTTTTTTTTTTGCTTTATTTATTGATTTATTTTTTGTAACGGAGTCTCACTCACTCTGTTGCCCAGGATGGAATGCAGTGGCACAATCTTGGCTTACTGCAACCTCCGCCTCTGGAGTTCAAGTGATTCTCCTGCCTTAGCCTCCCAGGTAGCTGGGACTACAGACGCACACCATCACACCCAGCTAATTTTTGTATTTTTAGTAGAGATGGGCTTTCACTGTGTTGGCCAGGCTGGTCTCAAACTCACGACTTCAGGTGATCCACCCTCCTTGGCCTCCCAGAGTGCTGGGATTACAGGTGTGAGCCACTGCGCCTGGGTGAGATCAAGAGATTAACATGAACATTTTTAAATGAGCATTACAGGTGTGTATTCAAGTTTACTACATTGTAAATAGACTTCCTTTATTTTGATCTCCCTGTTGTGAGCCAAAAGAAGGTTGTCTAGTCCAAAAGAAGGTCTGGCCCCAATTTGTGATTTAGATTTACTAGGTCTGCAATATATATGTTACAGGGGATTATTAACGGAAAAGAATTGGAGCCAGCACAAGACACTTAAAACCACCCATCTGTGAGTCAAAGAGGAAAAAGGTCATCTTAGGCTATTACTGGTGAAACCACTAGACTTGTATGGATGATACAAAAATATTCCCATAGAAATAGCTAGTATAGTCATTTATTCCTCATTCTTTCAAGTATTATTCTGTATGGAAACAGACAAAAGGCACTGATTTCTGTCTCCCAGTACTGAATTTTGGTTTAGTTCCAGTGGTTTTCATATTTCTGGTATCTTATGAGAAATCCCAGTTTAGGCTGGGCACTGTGACTCACACCTGTAATCCCAACACTTTAGGAGGCTGAGGCGGGCGGATTGCCTGAGGTTGGGAGTTTGAGACCAGCCTGGCCAGCATGGTGAAACCCTGTCTACACTAAAAATACAAAAAAATTGCGTAGGCATGGTGGCAGGTGCCTGTAATCCCAGCTACTCAGGAAGCTGAGGCAGGAGAATGGCTTGAACCCAGGAGACAGAGGTTGCAGTGAGCCAAGATTGCACCATTGCACTCTAGCCTGGGCAATAGAGCAAGACTCTGTCTCAAAAAAAAAAAAAAAAAAAACAAAAAACCCCATTTCATCCTAGCAGGGTGAAGTTTTTTTAAAAAAAAATATTTCTTTTTTTTCCTTTTTTTTCTTTTTTCTTGTTTTTGAAGCGTCGCTCTGTTGCCCAGGTTGGAGAACAGTGGTGCAATCTCTGTTCACTGCAACCTCCAACCCCCAAGTAGCTGGGATTACAGTCATGGACCACCACGCCTGGCAAATTTTTGTAGTTTTAGTAGAGACAGGGTTTTACTATGTGAGCCAGGCTGATCTCAAACTCCTGACCTCAAGTGATTTGCCTACCTCACCCTCCCAGAGTGCTGAGATTACAGGCGTGAACCACTGCGTCCGGTTATATTTCAACAGAATAAATTGTTTCTTAGTGCTGAAAAATTGCTTATACGTTCAGAAAATTCAGAGAGATTTTAGTCGTCTGCAGAAATGATGATGCTTTGAAAATGGTCTACATGCTATGCATTTGCTTTTCTTAGAGACTTTTGGAGCCCCCTTTTAGGGAAGGTTAACCTTTTTGTTGTCATTGCCATTACCAGCAAGTACATGATGGCGTATGTTGAGAGCTGTGTTCTCTTTGTTTTGGTTAGACATGATTCTCGCCCTAAGAGCTAACCTCATTTGGAGGGAAATGCAGGGACCAAGTACAGTATTCACAGTCTACCAGTTAGGACTGAATACATTGCCCAAGGTGTTTGAGAAGAAAAAGCCTGGGTGCAGTGGCTCATGCCTGTAATCCCAGCATTTTGGGAGGTCGAGGCAGGCGAATCACCTGAGGTTAGGAGTTTGAGAACAGCCTGACCAACATGGTGAAACCCCATCTCTACTAAAAGTACAAAAATTAGCTGGGCGTGGTGCATACCTGTGGTCCCAGCTACTCGGGAGGTGGAGGCAGGAGAATCGCTTGAACCTGGAAGGTGGAGGTTGCAGTGAACTGAGATCATGCCATTGCACTCCAGCCTGGTGACAGAGTGAGACTCTGTCTTTAAAAAAAAAGAAAAAAAAAGTAAACGTGGGTGCTAGTCGACTGTGTGATAGTACATCATCATTAATTATGAGGTTCTTTCTAGACTCTGTGGACTTGAATTAGCGAGGCTCTACTGTCCTGGAGGAGTTGGTTTTAATCTTTTTATCCTTTGAGAAGTGGTGGGGAAAAAAGGGTGTGAAGGTGGATTTTTCCCCCCATTCTGTTCCTGGAGGTTTGTAGACCTCCTAAAACTTATCCATGATCTCTAGCCTGGAAGGATTCGCAGTGACAGAGAGACCAGGTCAGATGTTTATAGGAATGGGAAACAGGTTGAATAAAAAGGATCCTGTACAAGAATACCAGTTTTCCATAAGCAATATTAATTGGGTTTAGTTGGAGCAAAAGTTTTCAGCAAGCTGGTTAGATTTGTCAACATACAAAGTAAACTAATGCCATAAACTCAGGGACAGGCCCTCTTACTTTGTCATGGGGCAATCATTGAAGGAGAACGTACTCTGAACCTGGTATAGACTAATCCATTAGTCATTTGATCATCTGCAACAGTGAAAACCAATTTGGAGGGGAGGAAGTAAATAAAGTTGGATAGATGTGTAGCTGTAGTGATTATTAGTCATGTAGTCCATTGTGACCAGTAAAGGGTAACTTCAAGAAATACTAGGAAATGTTTAGATTTGATATTTAAAATAGTTGTGTGAAGTAGAAATTGGGTATCCAGATGGAAACAATCTGCAGAGTGAGATGTGTGGACCTAACTAAGGAGAACTTGGAGAGGGTAACTGGAAATGGCAGTCATTCATTCGCAGACAAAAATCACAGTTGACTGCATAAGTTGCTCAAGTTTAGCTTATTGTCCCCAAGCTTAGTACTTCTGTCCTCTGCTGTGCTGAATTCTACTGCCCAGGGACTTGAGGTCTGCTCAGTACTCAGTGAACATACTATCTAGGCCAGTGCTTTAACTGTGTGTTTTTTGTTTTTTGTTTTTTGTTTTTTTTGTCCTGTGCTGTCATAAGCCTCATGTTTCTGTTGTGTTGGCTTGGGTTCTTGTCTTTGACTTTCTTCTCTCTGGGGGCCTCTGCACTCTCGCTTTGCTGTGCTGTAGAGTTATCCCAGATGCAGAACCAGCCCTCACTCTCACTCTTGTTCTGTTTTTTGGTGTAATGTCTAGCTTTATTTGCAGCTCCTTCAGCAGACTGCCTCCTCTGGGAACCTCAACACCCTGAGCAGCCTCCACCCAATGGGAGGTAAGTGTTTCACTGCTGCAGAGGAGCAGCAGCACCCAGGCCAGCAGACCCAGCTAACAACAGTCTTGGGAGTTTGGCATCGTTTCTGTGAAAACATTTTTTTGCTTATTATGTAAACCTGACCTAAGATGAACGTCCCAGGACTCAGTTGCCTTGTCTCTATACAGTGGCTCTATTGCTAGTTGATGCCACATTGCTCTCACGTTATCTGGTGCCTCCTAACCTTTTAGGTCACTGTTGGAGAAGAATATGGCTCCTGTAGACTGAGTCCATTCTGATAAGGGGAAAGAACTGCAAGAACTCTTTATTTCCATTTTAAAGTGACTTTTCCAGTGACTGCAGAAAAGTCAAAGATGGCTTCCATGCAAATGGCCTACCTTGAAGCTTCTAGAACCCAGGCAGTTAGTTTACCTGTGTATCTTATACTTGTTGTTTCTTAGGTGAATTCCTATTTTGTTGTTGCTATTAACGTACACAGAAAACTTAAATGGAGTGCCTCAACAAACCTGAGCCAGGGGCCACCAGGAGTCAGTGGGGGGTAGGGCATGGGGCAACTTCAAAGCTGCCTGTGCCTATACCCTCTGCATTGGATTTAGGCTAGGTCAAATGTGCATTTGAGAAAGGTATAGTTTTCAGTGAACTGCATTTTGTTGTTTGGAAATTTTTGATAGTAATTCACTTTGTCTTAGGAAATTATAGTTGGCTATATTTTTGGAAAGTTGCTAGATTGTAATCTATATTGTATTTTAATTCTCATTTACTCTTTCCACTCCCCCCACCTCTCACCCCATCCATCTTTCCGTTGTCTAGTAAATGGTTTGCAGCATCGACAGCACAGTTTAGATTTCTTCCTCCCCTTTCAACTGTGTTGCTAGGCTCTACTTGGAAGTCTTTCACTCAGTGATTGTTCCTCTCTCCTCTTTCTGGTGATGAATCTGCTGTTCAAGTGGTGGTGTCTTTATTCTTTGTGTCATTGCTGCTCTCCTGTGTTCTCCCTTGTTTCTTCCTGGGCCTTTTGCATCTGCCACGTTTTCTGCGTGTTCCCCTCTGTTACAGAGAGCGAATCCCCTGTAAAGTGTGAGTGAGGGGCCTGGATGCAGTCCCATTTTGTGCTGTAGGCTGTGGCATTGTTGTCCTGTGCTCCTGGCCCCATGGTAGGCAGTTTTTCTTGGTTTCCTAATTGCCCACACCTTTATTAATGTACATTTGGTGTGGTGTGCTATTGGATTAGCCATCTCTTCTCTGAGGAAATGATTTCAAGTTTCTTAATGAGTGATATCTGAATATTTTTTGGAGCCCTGTAATGTTTTTTGTAAGGCTTATCTAGAACAGTTCCTCTTTGTCAGGAACCAGCCCTCTGCCAGTGTGTGCTTGTCATGGCTGGAATGGATATGAAGCACCCTTATCTGCTGGCTAATCTCTTGCTTTGGATGTTGCAGGGTTGAATGCAATGCAGTTACAGAATTTGGCTGCACTAGCTGCTGCAGCTAGTGCAGCTCAGAACACACCAAGTGGTACCAATGCTCTCACTACATCCAGCAGTCCCCTCAGCGTGCTCACTAGTTCAGGTAAGCGTGAGGATGACCCACTGTGCCGTTATGTGCCTTGGACAGATCCTTTGTTTTTAAAGGCAGAGTCTAGGAAGGGAAATTAGTTAACACCTGTTTCCAGAGAGGTCAGATTATGAGCAACAAATTTTCAAATGTCATCTTCTGAACTTAAGAGAAATCTTCCTGATTTTTAATATGCTGTGGCCATTATTTGTCTCTGTCCTGGAAGGACAGTTATTAGAATTAGTAACTGAAAACCCCTTTGCAAATAGCATACTTGGATAGTGACACTCTTTCTTGTATTTGGCTCTTGTTGACAAGAGAATGCAAGTGATGGGTTGAATTTTAACTCCTGGATTTCTAATAGCAGGGTCCTCACCTAGCTCTAGCAGCAGTAATTCTGTCAACCCCATAGCCTCACTTGGAGCCTTGCAGACATTAGCTGGAGCAACGGCTGGCCTCAATGTTGGCTCTTTGGCAGGTAAGGGGCAGCCCCTGGCTGTCATCAGACCATTCTTTGTGCAGGTAGCACATCTTAACCCTGGTAGGGGCACCACTGGAATGATTGCAGTGGCCCAGTGAAGTTAAAAATAATCATGGGGGCCAGGCGTGGTGGCTCACGCCTCTAATCCTTGCACTTTGGGAGGCCAAGGTGGGCGGATCACGAGGTCAGGAGATCGAGACCATTCTGGCTAACGTGGTGAAACCCTGTCTCCACTAAAGATACAAAAAAATTAGCCGGGCGTGGTGGCAGGCGCCTGTAGTCCCAGCGGGAGGCTGAGGCAGGAGAATGGCGTGAACCTGGGAGGCAGAGATTGCAATGAGCCAAGATTGCGACACTGCACTCCAGCCTGGGTGACAGAGGGAGACTCTGTCTCAAAAAAAAGAAAAAGGGGGGGGGTGGTGGATTTTTTATTCAGACCTGAGTTAAATCCCGCCTCTGTCCCTTAGCTAGCTATAACTTTGGAGCACCTTTCTAAGGACATTTTCTCATCTTTGAAGTGGGAATAATAGAATACTTTGAAGGGTTGTTAAAAATTAAATGAGGCCAGGTGTAGTGGCTCATACCTATAGACCCAGCAGTTGGGAGGCCAGAGCAGGAGAATCACCCTAGGTCACGAGTTCCAGACCAGCCTGAGCAACATAGTGAGAACTCCATCTCTACAAAAATTATCTGGGTGTAGTGGTGCATCCCTGTAGTCCCAGCTACTTGGGAGGCTGAGGCCAGGAGGATTGCTTGAGTCTGGGAGCTTGAGGCTTCAGTGAGCTATGATTGTACCAGTGAACTCCAACACAAAGTGAGACTCTGTCTCCAAAAATAATAATAATAATAATAATTGGAACATAAAGTGCTGCTGAGCACATTGCATAGTACAGTGGCTGACACATAGAATGTACTCAGTACCTGTTAGTTGCTCTTTTAATGGTAGGGTTCATCCTCATCTTGTCAGAAATCACATGTACCCCTTTGAGTTCGCAGTCCTGGGACTCTTCTTTTATGACATTCTAGCTCATTATAAGAAAGTGGCAGAATAGCCAGATAGAATATGGAGCCTGTCATTCCACAGATTGGATGAAGGTAATGGGGAGCACCACACCCACGTATGGCATTTCTTAATGTCCCCATTAGCAAGGCCTGGCGAATGTCCTGAAATCTAGCCAGTCAGATAGTTTCTTCTCAGGGAGAAACTAAGAGGGAGATAAAGGGAAGAACTTTGGAGTTTTCCCTCTTCTAGATGACCCTGAGTAGACTTGTCTTTGGCATCAGTTTAGTCTTTCCAGTATATTAATACTTCTCTTCCTCCAACCAAGGAATGGCTGCTTTAAATGGTGGCCTGGGCAGCAGTGGCCTTTCCAATGGCACCGGGAGCACCATGGAGGCCCTCACTCAGGCCTACTCGGGTATCCAGCAATATGCTGCTGCTGCACTCCCCACTCTGTACAACCAGAATCTTCTGACACAGCAGAGTATTGGTGCTGCTGGAAGCCAGAAGGAAGGTGAGTGCAAAGGGAGATCGGGGTCAGATATGGGGGTATTCCTCCTTCTATACCAGAACTGAAAGGCAGAGCAAAGGCTAAGGGAACCAGTTAGGTCTTCAGACCATTGTTTTTCTTTGATAGTGTCAAATGTAGACTGAGAAACCCTGTGAAATGTGATCTGCTTTTGAAAAGTTTTCTGGATGTGTCTCAGATCAGAACCTCTGTGTGCCCTCTTGGAATGGGGCTCCAGTTTTTAGACGAAGCAACAGACACTGACCTTATCGCGTCTGACACATTTGACAAGAATCTGTTTCTGTTAGGACGTCTTCTCTACACGTTACAAATCTATCAGAGGATCTTCTGTCTGGATGTCTTCTGTCTCAGTGTCCCTTTTAGCTATGTCATTTGGCATTTTCCTCACTTTCTGATCGATGTTTGTCCTGATTGAAGACAAACTGAGGGGTGATGGGACAGTTTGGCCCATGAGTTGATGGAGTGGGAAGTATGTCATTTGACACAAATGGTATTCAATTTAGGAGAAAAAAAAATTAGGAGAAACCGTCTAGCCAGAAAGAGGCCTGAAGGTGACTTACATGAATAGAAAGTCCTGTTGACACCTCTGTGCTCAGATTTGACTGGGTTTTTATAACCAGGAGCTGGTATAAGCACTAATGTAGGAAAAAGATGAGTGTCCTCTTATCACAGCAGAAAGAAGTCCTGGTTCATCTCTCCTCACTTGCTCTGAATCACATATCCCCTAGGGATGTGGTAGTAGGAGAACGTAGCGTGAACCAATATTTTTGTGGAGATAGACAATAAATAAATGAGGGCATGAGGTGTTTCAGATGATCCTCTGGAGAATGATAAGCGGGGAAGAGAGATAGGGAGTGTCAGAGGCACTGCATTTTATGCAGAATGCTCAGAGAATGTCTGTCTAAGTTGACATTTAAGCAGAGAACTGAAGGAAGTAGGAAGCAAGCCATGCCTGAATTTAGAGAAAGAAGAGTAACGGGCATAGGAAAAGCAAGTACAGAGGCCCTCAGGCAGCAAAGTTCCCTGATATGTTTGACAAAAACAAGGAGGCCAGGGTGGCTGGAGAATGGCTGGACTGCAATTGTAATAAAACTTTTTGGTTAGAAAATCATTGAGTAGGCTGGATGCAGTGGTTCATGCCTGTAATCCCAGCACTTTGAGAGGCCAAGGCGGGCGGATCATGAGATCAGAAGTTCCAGACCAGCCTAACCAACATGATGAAACCCCATCACTACTAAAAATACAAAAATTAGCTGGGCGTGGTGGCGCCTGTCTGTAATCCCAGCTACTCAGGAGGCTGAGGCAGGAGAATCACTTGAACCCGGGAGGCGGAGGTTGCAGTGAGCTGAGATCATGCCACTGCACTCCAACCTGGGTGACAGAGCGAGACTTCATCTCGGAAAAAAAAAGAAAAGAAAGAAAGAAAATCATTGAGTATAAGTAATCAGATGAAGAATGTGTATTCTGCTTTTAAGCTCAGTGTTAATCATGGGTGCATTTTTAAAACTAATTTCTTTTTATTGTCCAATTTACATATGATGAAACTCACTGATTTTGGCATAGAGCTATATGAGTATTGACAAACAGACGCAGTCCTGCAACCATCACCACAGATTAAGAACATTTCCATCACCCCTAGAAATTCCCTTGTGCCCCTTCGTACTCATTCCCTGCTTCTACATCTTGCGTCTGGCAACTACCCATCTGTTTGCTGTACCTGTGGTTTCTAGGCATTATTTGGAAACCTGTTTTGTTTTTAACCCCTTTTCACCCCCTCTTCTGTGTTCCTCTCTGAGCCTGCAGTCTCTGTTCTCCTGCTCCACACACAAGTCGGCCTGCTTTATTATCCCAGCACTTCTCCTCCAGGTAGAATTCTCACATCCTCAGTGAGATGGAGCTTGGCTGAATGTGAGGGAAGGAATCTGTTTTAATGTTTGCCCTTTGGTTTCTTGCTTTGTATTTAGAGAATCTGTTTAGTTCCCCAGATGAATCTCTACTTTTGGGGATTGTGACGGTTTTAACATAGGTGGAAATGAGGAAGACCACTGGTGACGAGCATGTTTGACACTGATACCTTTCCAATTCCTGGGTATTTTGAAGGTCCAGAGGGAGCCAACCTGTTCATCTACCACCTGCCCCAGGAGTTTGGCGATCAGGACCTGTTACAGATGTTTATGCCCTTTGGGAATGTCGTGTCTGCCAAGGTTTTCATAGACAAGCAGACAAACCTGAGCAAGTGTTTTGGTATGTTGGCTTCTCTCTGGTGTCAGGGTGGGATTAGTATTTTACCACTGAGAAAGAAGGAGCTCACTGTAGAAAGAGCTGGATATGAGTTTGGGCTGTTGTTTTAACTTGGCCATGGGCAGGTCATATAACCTCTTTTTGAGCCCCAGTTTCTCATTGCTGTAGTGGAGGTAAGGATTTCTACCCACACTGTTGCTCCAGAGAGAAAAAATAATATATGGAAAATGGTTTGCAAAAAAACCTTAAAACAGTCCAGGTTTGTGCCTATGAGTCCCAGTACTTTGGGAGGCCAAGGCAGGAGGATCACTTGAGCCTAGGAGTTTGAGACCAGCCTGAGCAACAGAGTGAGACCTCATGGCTACAAAAAATTAGCCAGACATGGTGGCGTGTACCTGTGTTCCCAGCTACTCGAGGCTGAGGTGAGAGGATCACCTGATCCCAGGAGGCCGAGGTTGCAGTGAACCATGATCACACCACTGTACTCCAACCTGGGTGACAGAGCAAGACCCTGTCTCAAGAAAAAGAAAAAAACCTTTAAATTACCATGTAGATGTTAAGTGGTACTATTAAGAACCTAATTTATTTCATATGATATAATGTCCAGATTTCTTGTCCCTACTGAGTAAAATTGGGATTTTAGATGAAGCACATAAGGTATCTTGCATAAGGAGGACTGAGAATCTCCTTGCCTCATTATGTCCCTCACCTAGGTTTCTGCTTGGACACACAGGTTTTGTAAGTTACGACAATCCTGTCTCGGCCCAAGCTGCCATCCAGTCCATGAACGGCTTTCAGATTGGCATGAAGCGGCTTAAAGTGCAGCTCAAACGTTCGAAGAATGACAGCAAGCCCTACTGAGCGTGCTCCCCTCTGAGACTGGAGTGAGAGGGTCTTCTGGTAAGTGGGGGAGGAGCACCCTTAATGATTCGAAGCCCTGAGGCTGTGTGTTGACAGCCCTGGACCCTGATCCCTGCCACTCTCGCAGGCACAGCTTGCCCTGAAGACTCGGCTACTGCCTTCTGTGGGAGTTTCGCTTCGTACAGAGGACAAGTTTGTGCTTTGGTTTCCAGTGTTTTACTTTGGAGTTTAGGTGCCATATCCTGAGTTGTTTTTTTTTTTTTTTCCTTTATTTAAAGTTTGCTGTGTTTGTAACCAGTGTGTGTTGAGAAGGACCAACACCAAACCACCCTGGGGAAGGGGGACAGGGAAACATTTAACACAGACAATGATCGGGATTTGCCCCAAACCACCCCAAAAGAGAGGACTGAGTAGAACAAAAAAGTGACCCCCAGAACCTCCCTTAGTGTGAGGGTGGGTAGAATGAGAACTGACACTTGGGAGCTGTGGGGAGCAGAGCGACTTTGGGGGAGAGTGGAGTGACACCTAATGCCCTGGCAGCTGGAGACTCAAACTTCTGCACAGCTGCCTTCTGGGAAATAGTTTTTGACACATATTTTTCAGATTCTTGTCCGGAATTTCTGCCGCTCTTTTCAAGAAAGAGTGTTAACAATTCTCTGGAAATAGAGCACCTGTTAGCCTGACATATGCAAAAAGCAGGGCGGCATCACCCATTACCAGCTCCCCCAGCCAGCGGTCAGTATTGGATTGGCCCTGCCTGGCTGGTGGCAGTTTGGGAGAAGCAGCCAAAGAGGTTAGTTTATTTCAACACCAAATTAGACCATGGCCCATTTCCAACAGGTCTCTTTAAAGAAGGCCTCTATGGAATACATTGCCTGGTTTCCTTCCTTGCAGTTCACCACAGCAAGAAACGTCACCTCCATCCCAAGTCACAATTTTCTCATGAAGGCAAATCCAAGAAGGGCTTGCAGTTCTTGCTGAAGGGGTACCACTTGTGGGCAGAGTGATCAATGCCATCTAGTCGAGGGAGGAGGAGCTTGTTTCTTGGTGTACTTGAATCAGAAGGTCCCTGCAAGCCAGTATGCTTCATTTGCCAGTGGCCAGAAATCCTCCCTTGCCTCCTTGATTGAGGTGTCCCAGATGTAGTATTCCCACAGGGGTCTGGCAGACCCCTCCTGTAACCACTCCAGTCACATTTTCTGCTTTTGAGGCAGAGGTGACATTAGGACGTTTACAGCCTCCACATGAATTGAGTGTTCATTTACCTCAGTATTACCGTGTTCATTTTTGTCCTCGTGCTACAGTTAGCTCCCTGCTGCCTCCTGCAGGTCTTACTTCAGCTCTTGCCTGTGACCCACACAGCTTCTGGGCTCTGCCTCTGCTCTAAGAAGTGCTGTGGGGGTAGAGAACCAGGAAGGACATGCTGTTGGGAATGTACACCTGGGTAGAGGTGGCCCTGTTAAGATATGACTATAGCCACGGCCAGGGACGGGATCCCTGGGTCTCTGGAATCTGAAACCTCACAAATGCCAGTCTTGACCCATAGCAGCAGAGATAAGAATAAAGGGGTTGGTTTGCTATTAAGTCAGATGGGGGCTCTCTCCTTGTCACGCTGTCCCTGTGGGTAACAGACAGGGATTGACCATCTTACTGTTGTACAGGTAGCTGGTGGTGTTGGATTATCCCATTGAAGCTGGGACAGCTGTTCCTTTCTCATAGTGATAACTTGGGTCTGTTGTCCTCTAAGGAACGTGAAACATACACTTCTTAAGCTGAACCACGTAAACTTGAAATTCTGCGCACTGGGAGAAATGTGTCCTGTGTTTCAAAGGATAAAACTGTTCTAAAGGCTTCCAGGGTCATGATGGGATTTTTTTAATAAATGCAAAAAATAAAAATAAAAAAGAAAAAAGAAAACAAAAAAAAGAAAAAAATGCTAGGTTGGGGAGGCGCTGTTCTGAATCCCAACCGGCTGGAACCAAGAATGTCGTTTCTATTTTTATAGAAGTTTTATACAGCTCCGGGGTGGAGAATATTTATTACCTAAATTATATCTCTGGAAAAGGCCAGGATTTTGTAGAATCCAGAATGTGATTGTTATACACACAGGGTGCTGTGTATGATTGAAACTACTGACTTTCTGTGGCCCGTTTGCAGCCCAGCTAACCTGCCCAAGGGGAAGGTGTTAATGCTGTGAATTGGCAGAGGAGAGAGCTGTGCTCCACAGGGTGCTGCCGGTGCTGTGCTCCCTAGCCTTCTGTTCTGTCTTCCTCCTTAGCCAAAACGTCACTCCCTTCCCACATCCCCCTCTTCTCTCTGCCTTCCCCCATCTCACCATTATTTGTCCATGGATTTGTCTTGGGCTCTGGGACCTTATGAAACCCCTTTCCTAATGACATAAGAGGCCAAGGTGCAATCCACCCACCTTTGATACCAGACCCTGAGGGCTTCATACCTGCTGATGGGTTCTCTTAAAAGGAATGCTTGCCCCAGCAGGGTCCTGGGCTGCTTGAGCAGCCAGCTGGTGAGACCATGCATTTCTCTGTTCTCTCCTCCCCCTGCCGAGTGAGTTAGCACAGCAGTAGCACTGCCCTTGAGCACAGTTCTTTCCCCAGGCCAAAGATGGTTTTGTGAAGAAGCTGCTCCCCTACAAGTCTCATGTGTGAAAGGGCTCAGCTCAGAGTGGAGACTCGCTGTCAAGTCTTAAGCAATCCTTTTCTGTTGTGTGAAGGTTTCACTTACAAAGTGTTTTTTGTTGTAGTTTTGTTTCTTACTCGGGTTACATCATGAAATTGATTTGCCTTGAATGCAGCCAGACCACTGTCTCCCGGGTTCCACTTGAGTGGCCAGGGCCTGGGTGGAAGCTAAGAGCTTGGATTTCTGGGAACAAAGGGCCATCCCCATAAGATAAGAGCAGAAATTCTGGTCCTCTTCCCTGAAAAATTTTCCCCACCCCAGCCAGCATCTTCTGCTTCCCCTTGGGTTGTGACCAGAGAGTGGGGAGAGAGGCTGAGGCTCTGCTCCCCTGGAGACCTTCTCTTAGGAGTTGGGCGCTTCATGGAAAATCCAAGCCTTAGGTTCCCTTCTGTCTCTGGCAATTAGATGTGTTCTTGGTGTCCTCCATGTCCTTTTTGACTTTTCCCTGTGTCCATTGTTAGCATGTGCAAAAGTTCCCTGTCATTACCCAATCCCTGCCCGCCCACCTCATTTCAGGGCTGTACACACAGTGAGTGTCCTGTTCTCTCTCTCTTTGTTTGGATGTATTGCTCTGTGTAACTCAGTGGGTCTCCCTCTTTCTGGTTTGTTTTTTTTTCTAGATTCCTGCCGTTTGTTCATCGTTGTGCCTAAAGCATGTCGATGTGGCGTCAAGTACATCGTCCAAATCCCTGTCTCTTCAGCTTCTCTGATGCTTGAACTCTCACCTTTGACCTTGTGTTGACCTTTGATGCTGACGTGTATTTTTATTATGTTTGTTTCTTTCTTCGTTTTTTTTTTCCTTTTCCTTTTTTCCTTCCCTTTTTTTTTTTCCCTTTTGTGCTGCCAAATTGGTTTTGCTAGAACGACTGCTGAAGGGGAAATATTTAAACTTGCATTTGAATATAAAAAAAATCTATTTTTCTAGAACTTCATAAGATAACCACTTGATTTTGTGATTCCAATTCTTTGTAATTGTCTTCAGAGCAGCCCTACTAGCACATACCGCGTGGTGTTTGTATTTCTGTGAACACACAGCCAGTCCGTTTCTAGGCTTTGTTTCTCTGTGTGCTTAGTTTTAAAGACAACTTTGAAGTAAACAATGAAATAAAAGATGTCACTAAAACCTTTGAGGCTCCTGAGCACATTTTGCTGATACAGTCTGTGGGGCTTGAGGAGACCGCATGTATTGTTCTTTCTTTTGTTTTTCTTCTGAGTTCTCAACTGCAGAGAGCACCTGAACCCCCTTTCCTTTTTGACCGCAGGCTGCAGTTTGGGCCCCAGCCAGCCCTTTTTCTTTTTCTTTTTCTTTTGTGGTTCTTCCCTGGAGCGACTCTGTGGGGAGTCCTGGATCCCGCCTGCCCCTTCCCCTCAGCCCCATGCTTGTTCCTAAAGTCTCCACAGCAAAATGTGATGCTTTGATTTTTTGTTGTTGTTTTTGTTTTTGTATTGTTTTTGTGTTTTTGTTTTGAATTTTTTCCTTTCCTACTAAGATTATGCCCAGAAAAAAGTTTTGCATGTTTCCTGCTGTTTCTTCACACCTTCGTATATATCACCTTCACCTCTCTGTTTTCTATAGTTTGTGCAAAAACTGATTTAAAAGGGTTTCAAAGAAGCTGTTTTAAATTGTTGTAGGGTTGATTATTTTTTTCAAGATTGTATTGTTTTATTTTGAAGTGGCAACTTTCTCCTCTATTGCCCTTAGAGCGTTTGCCTGTGCACTTAGACTGTCACTTCGTGTGGCCTCCAGGTCTCAGCAGGGCGTCCAGGAGGCTGGCTGCTCTGCTCAGAGAGGGTGGGAAGGGGGCCTGGAGAGACACAAGAAGCAGAGGTAGAGCCTAGAAGGTGGCAGCAGGTGGGCAAGAGGCTTACTTAGCGCATTAGGGGCAGTGAGCACCTGGAGGAAGGAGGGCGCTCCCAACCACCCCATAGTAGGAGGCCATCTGCGCACCAAGCGGCAATTCACCTGCTGGCGCTTTTCCTAGGTGACAAGCACAATACTACAGTCTTCACACTGTTTACAGCCCTGGGCACCAGCCACCCCGCACTGGCTCTTCACCACAGCTCTGCTCTTGCTTAGCTGGTGGGGTGGGGGGAAAGGGCAGGGATTTGTTTTTTAAATTGGGTGAAGAGCCAAACAGCTACTGTCCCTGGGTGCCGAGCAAGCCAGTTTTTTTGGTTCCCTGAGGGAAACTGACCCTCTTCTCTTGTGGCACCATCCAGCCTCAGGGTCTTGGAGACTTGAGTAAGAATGTGAGTGGAGGGGGAGAGGCGAGGAGAGGAGAGGTCACAGGGTGGATCTGTGGAGGGAAGAGGTTGCAGGGGGAGGAGCTGATGATAGATCCCACCTAGACCTAAGCTGCTGGTGGGTGGGCGAGCTGGGAAGTAGGACTGTCCAGGGAAGGGTGGAGAGATGTAGCTAGCGGCTGGGGATGGGGAGGTGGAAGCGCTGCTGAGCATCCTCCACACCAACGTTGATGAAGGAAGGGATCCCAGCAGGGTTTCTGCTCTGGGGCTGGCGGGTTGCCCGGTATTATGCCCAAGGCCACTCTGCCTGGGGGAAAGGGCAGCCAGGCAGAGGCCCAGTGTCTGGTAGGCTGCTGAATTTCCTGGAAGGGGTGATTGGATGGAAAGAGGCCAGAAACCCCAGCCTGAGAGACTGCTGTGCGCCCCACAGTCTGACTGCACAGAGCCGCCTCTGTTGGCAGGAGGCACTGAGGCTCCCCTTCCTGTGTATTGAGAAGCCGTGTTTGCCAATATATTTTGCTTTCAATTCCAAGAGGAGCTCTGGGAAAACCTGTGGATAAAACCAAATGCCAAATGTTGGACGTTGTTTCCTTTTCCTTTTCTCTCTCTGATTGTTTTAATTGTTCTGTGGTGGTTTTAATGGATTTGAGACCCTGGAGCGGCAGCTGCCTTTCTGATTTCCAGCTGCTTTTTGTGAATAATTTAAAAAGAAAAAAAAAAAAGAAACTTTACATTTTGGAGACAAACCTGTGTGAGTTTTTTATTGGTACAAACGTTGTATTTAACACTAGGGGTTTTGTACAGTTTTTTGCCTTTTCTACTAGAAAACAATGTAAAGTGATTTCACAATGTGAAGAGAAAAAAAAATTGCCACTATGACCAAACGCACAGTCTGTTCTGCAGCAACAACGGGATTCAATCAACTCAGTCGTGATTCAGCCGTAGAAATGCTTTTCCTTTATCTTGTTTGAGCTTTTCTTTTCTTTCCTGTTTTGATTTGCAAAAGAAAATGTCTTTTTTGTGTGAACTTGTGTTGTACTCTGTAGAAAATTATGGATTTTACTTTAATGGTTTAAAAAAAGGCAAGAAGAGCTCTCGTTGCTTTTCTTACCTAATCACAGAGTTTGTGTAGTGAATTTAAAAAGAAAAAAAAAAATTGTTACAAGTTTGGGTCAAGGGAGTATGTGTTTCAAAGGAATCTCCTTCCTTTTTTTTGTGTGTTTTTCCTTTTGTCCCAATGGGGAACCTAAATCTGTTTTAATTGCACAGACACACGGACAAAAAGTCATTTTGTATCTGCCAAGTGTGGTACCTTCCTTTGTTTATTTGCTATTAAACTGTTTGAGAAGAACTGATGTCTTCAGAGTTACTGATGGTTGGGGAGGGCGGTGTGTCCTTGGCGCGGGTGGGCTTGCCGTGTTCCTGAAGAGGGGGTGTGGGTTCCTCTTCAAAACGTAAGGCTTCATTTTGATGTACCTGAAGGTGTATAACTGAACCCACCAAAAGCTCCTGAAGGAAAACATAATTTCTCCCCAGAAAACTGCCTTCCCCATCTTTTTGTATTCTCCAGGATTTCTACTTATATGGAAACACCTTAAAATTTTTTGCCAAACCTAGTTTTTGAGCATCTCCTCTTCTCCTTGGCCGCCACACAACAGAGCTGGTCCAGACCTGCCAGTGCTCATCTCTTCCCTAGTGCTGCAGAGTCCCTGCTCCCTAGGACTCTGCTGGCCAGCAACGAATCCCAGAGCCCGGCAGTCTTCCTCCCTCCAGACCTTTAAAACTCTGGCCCAAAGTGGTTAAACTTCTACTTCCCTCACTCTGACCTCAGTACAAGGCCCCTGAATGGCATGCTTCTGTGGACTACTCAGTAGTGCTGGATGGCCCAGGCCTCAGCCTTCCCCTGCATGTTCCTCTATGTGGAGTGGGTCTTGGGTAGCATTTCTCAGTGGGGGTTCTATTGAGTACTAGCCCCTGATATGTTCTATGAAATAACAATTCTTAACACAAATAAGTTTGTGAATGTTTTCCCTGCAATAAAGAATGTTCTCTCTGAAATTAGGCAATAAAGAAGCCTCAGACTTGATTTAGCCAAGCGTCTCCCAGACTGGGGATCCCATTTGCTGTCCACTTGTTCTCAAAAACAAGTGGCAGCTTGGGGGTTTTAGAAGATTTTGTCTACCAAGTTCTGCATTTGGGTGTTCCTTTGTTCACGTCCCCATTTTTCATTAAAGTGTTTAAAAATTAAACATTAAAAATGTTTAAAAATCAGAACTTATATGCAAATAATTATCCTAGCTAATGTTGATTGTTTACCACAATCAGGCGCTGCAGGATACACGTGATACCCACTACATGTTCCAGGCTTCACAGCATCCCTAGGAGGTAGTTAGTGTTCCCATCCTCATTTTACAGATGAGCAAACAGGTTAAAAGAAATTGGGTTGCCTGCTAGAAAGTGGTGTGCACTGGGAATCAAACCAGGTTGCCCAACTCCTGAGTCCTTTCTCCTAACCACTACTGAATAGAAAGAATTCAAAAGCCAGTAAATGTGCTTCAGTTAACCTGTGTCTCATCACAGATGGTTGCTCTCTGTCCTCCAGGCCCCAGTGAGAGGAGCTTAGAGGACCTGTGGCTTTTGTGGCTCCCTTGGAAGGTGACTCATTGCAGCTGTACCCTCTTTAAAGCAGCCTTTTGGTGTTTGAGAGGTTCACTTGTAACTGGTTGGTCAGTGGGCTCCTGCAGGGTGCTGCTGCCTGTGGGGGAGGGGGCAACTTCTAAATGGCACTCCTCTCCATACTCTCACGTCACTGGATCTGAGACCACCTCAACCATTGTTTACCCAGTGTCAGTTTGTTTTTATTGTGACAAAATCAAATTTGCCATTTTAACCACTTTTAAGTATAATTTTTAAAAATTTTGTTTTACTTTGGAGTATAGATTCAAGTTGCCCTGAATATATACTCCCTATAATTTTATAATTTACTACCATTAAACACATTCACAATGCTTGTGCAATCACCACCTGATTTTTTATTTTTGAGACAGGGTCTCACTCTGTCAACGAGGCTGGCATACAGCGGCGCAATCATTGCTCACAGCAGCCTCAGCCTCCCCAGGCTCAAGTGATCCTCCCACCTCAGCCTCCTGAATAGCTGGGACTTACAGGCACATGCCATCATGCCTAGCTAATTTTTGTATTTTTTGTAGAGACAGGTGTCGCCATGTTGCCCAGGTTGGTCTTGAACTTCCGGGCTCAAGCAATCTGCCTGTCTTGGCCTCCCAAAGTGCTGGGATTACAGGCATGAGCCACCATGCCCAGCCCCATTACCACCTAATTTTGTAAATCAACTTGAAGTGTACTTTTTTCAGCTTCATTCTGACCCACTGATATTTGTGAAATCACAAGTTTGATATTGTAATCATTACATTATAAAATACACATTAGCAGGGCTCAGTGGCTCACACCTGTAATCCCAACACTTTGGGAGGCCAAAGCGGGAGGATCAATTGAGACCAGCCTGGGCAACAGAGTGAGACCCCATCTCAACAGAAAATAAAATCAGGCGTGCTGGCACACACCTGTGGTCCCAGCTACTCCAGAAGCAAAGGTGGGAAGATTGCTTGAGCCCAGGAGGTCCAGGCTGCAGTGAGCTATGATCATGCCACTGCACTCCAGTCTAGGTGGCAGAGTGAGACCCCGTCTCCAAAAATACACATACACACACACACACACATATTTATACCTACTAATATAAAATGTACATGGAGTGCCTTCTCAGTGAGTTCTGCATTTCACACTTGGGGGAACTGGTGTGGTGGAGGGCAAGGGTAGAGAATCAGAGGCTTCCTCCTCAGACTCTCTTCCTGGGCCTTTTATCTAAAAATAGATTATGAAGTACAACTTGAGCATCTTTTAATTGAAATCATGCTTAAAGGCTGTTGCTTCTCTTTAAAATGGACCCAAAAAAGGGAATATATCAAGTACTATTTCAGCCTTTTTAAAAAGTTTAGGCTTTTGCATATTTATAATAATAAAGCTGTATCTTTTTTTGAGACGGAGTTTTGCTCTTGTTGCCCAGGCTGGAGTGCAATGGTGCAATTTTGGCTCACTGCAACCTCTGCCTCCTGGGTTCAAGCAGTTCTCCTGCCTCAGCCTCCCGAATAGCTGGGATCACAGGCACATGCCACCACACCCAGCTAATTTTTGTATTTTTAGTAGAGATGGGGTTTCACCATGTTGATCAGCCTGGTCCGAACACCTGACCTCAGGTCATTCACCCCACTTGGCCTCCCAAAGTGCTGGGATTACAGGCATGAGCCACCGTGCCCAGCCAATAAAGCTTTATTAATTAAATGTTTTGTTGGAGTTTGTTTTGTTTGGGTTTTGGTTTTGAGACAGAGTCTTGCTCTGTCACCCAGGCTGGAGTGCAGTGGCATAGTCTGCTCACTGCAGCCTCCACCTCCCGGACTCAAGCAACTCCCCTGCCTCAGCCTCAGGCATGCGCCACCACATTCGACTAATTTTTTGTATTTTTAGTAGAGATGGGGTTTCACCATGTTAGCCAGGCTGGTCTCAAACTCCAAGCCTCAAGTTGATCACCTACCTTGGCCTCCCAAAGTGCTGGGATTACAGACATGAGCCACCTTGCCCGACCAATGTTTTATATTCTTTGAAAACCACTTCATCCTTCTGTAGCTTGCTCAGCACCTACTTTTTGCCACATTCCTATTCATCTGGCTGGCAGAGGCACCTCTGCACTGACTTTATTGGTCAGCACACAGCTTCCCTAATGCTCACATACTATGCTCACGTGAGCAGCTCAGTCTCTGATAAGGAAAAGCCACCAGGCTGGAAATTAAACACCAGGTTGTCCCTGCACCTCAGGGAATGTCAGACTAATGTCTGATAATATTTCCCTTCAGGAGAGACTGGAGATGGCCTTGCCTTGCACCTTCTGCCTTCAAGCGTTTTCCTTCCCTCTCAGTAGTCCTTTCCAACCCCCACCATCTGGTGTTTAATTTCTTTTGCATGCATTGACTTTCTCTGTACTGGGTGAAGACTCCAGCTGTAGGGAGCAGCTTTTGTTTTTTAAAAATCGAAGGCAGGTCGGGCGCGATGGCTCACGCCTGTAATCCCAACACTTTGGGAGGGCAAGGCAGGCAGATCACTTGAGGTCAGGAGTTCGAGACCAGCACTGCTACCATGGTGAAACCCTGTCTCTACCAAAAATACAAAAATTAGCCAGGCACAGTGGTGGGCACCTGTAATCCCAGCCACTTGGGAGGCTGCGGCGGGAGAATCTCACACTCGGCGGGCGGAGCTTGCAGTGAGCTAAGATGATTCCGCTGCACTTCAGTCTGGACAACAGAGTGAGACTCCCATCTAAAAAATAACATTGAGGCCGGGCGCGGTGGCTCAAGCCTGTAATCCCAGCACTTTGGGAGGCTGAGGCAGGTGGATCACGAGGTCAGGAGATTGAGACCATCCTGGCTAACATGGTGAAACACCGTCTCTACTAAAAATACAAAAAACTAGCCGGGCGTGGTGGCGGGCGCCTGTAGTCCCAGCTACTCGGAGGCTGAGGCGGGAGAATGGCGTGAACCCGGGAGGTGGAGCTTGCAGTGAGCCGAGATCGCGCCACTGCACTCCAGCCTGGGCGACAGAGCGAGACTCCGTCTCAAAAAAAATAAATAAATAAATAACATTGAAGGCAGCCTTGCGATGGGAAATTGCAACCAGGAAGGGCTTTCCCACAGTCCCCGACGCCTTCCATGCCCAGCTTTGGGCTGGCCTACCCAAGGTTTTTCTGTTTGTGGGGATGGGTCCTACTAATCTGAGGCCTCTTGAGATTTGGGTTGTATTTAAACAGCTTTATTACACGGCGTGGTGGCTCATGCCTATAATAACAGCACCTTGAAAGACCGAGGCCAGTGGACCACTTGAGGCCAGGAGTTCAAGACCAGCCTGGCCAATACAGCGAAACCCCTTCTCTACTAAAAATACAAAAATTAGCCAGGCATGGTGGCGCATGGCTGCAATCCCAGCTACTCAGGAGGCTGAGTCACAAGAATTGCTTGAACCCAGGAGACGGAGGTTGCAGTGAGCGGAGATTGTGCCACTGTTGCAGCCCAGGGAACAAAGTAAGACCGAGACCCTGTCTCAAGAAAAAAATAAGAATAAGCGGGTTTATTGAGTATAATTCACACACAACACAACTCATCCACTTAAAGCATACCATTCACTGGGTTGTAGAGTTGTGCAACCATGAACACAGCCTAATTTTAGAACATTTTCAGAACCATATACTCATTTAGCAGTCGCTCCCCATCCTCTCCCTCACTCCCTTTC